ATGAAAGGTGTTATCCTATATGGAACCCGGGAACAGGTAAATTCAACATTTCTATCAACAAGGTATCTACATGTGCAAGTAAACCACTTTTAGCTTCAAACATCTGCAACTTTGTTGTACGTTATGGGCTCAGAACTGATACAAAAATGTCTTGGAGATGGACCAAAACTTATACGCAAATTTTTTCAAGTTGGCGAAGAACATGCACCTTACATTGTATTTATTGATGAAATTCATGTTATTGGAACTAAATGGTATATAGACATGAATCTTATTCTGATTGAATTTATAATTTTATTTTATTATTTTTTATTAATTAATTATTATTACTTTTTTAAAAAATTTGATGTCATTTAATTATAGATATGATTCCAATTCAGGTGGTGAAAAAGAAATTCAAAGAACTATGCTAGAACTTTTGAATCAGTTAGACGGGTTTGATTCTAGAAGAGATGTCAAGGTTAACTAGCTTGTAGGAATTTCCTGCTTATATTAATATGTAAATAAATTATTAATTGGATTTTTTTATATTTATAAAGGTCATCATGGCAAAAAATCGTATTTAATCATTAGACCCTGCTCTGATTCTCCCGGGACGCATTGACTGAAAGATAGAATTTTCACTTCCAGACGTAAAAACGATATGTCGTATTTTTAATATTCATGCGGAGAGAATGACATGATTAGATGATGTGAATCTTAAGGAATTTGTAATGTCAAATGATGATTTGAGTGGTACTGACATAAAGGTAAATTTGTTGACAAAATCTAGGCCTTAAATGGGCAAACATAATCAATATGTATTTATTTTACTTTCTACATGATTTAGGCTATTTGTACTTAGGCAGGTTTGCTTGCTCTACGAACGTCGTATGAAAATATTCGCTGAAGATTTTAGAAAAGCGTGTGAGAAAGTTCTTTATCGCAAGTCTGAAGGTACACCCGAAGGATTATACCTTTAGTCTAGAGATGGTAAAGTTGGTTTGGGTTTGGTTTAGATTCTAAAACCCCTAGGTTCCAAATTAAAAACCTAAGAACCAAATTTCTTATAATAAGTTCCAAACCTAAGTTAAACTTGGCTTGGTTCAGAATCAAGATTTAGACTGGTTTTCAATATTTTGCAAAACATAAAAAAAATCAAAACTATATTAATAAAAAGCTACTTAATTTATATCAAACTTTTAGAATAAAATATATTGATCTTTTGAATGACTTTACTTATGGTGTTCTCAAGCACTTCAATCAATAGATCGGAGGAAAAATTTTAATTAATACTTAGGAAAATTAGGAAATTGAATAAACCAAATAAATAAGTTATCATTTCAATGAATAAAACCTGGAGGTGTAGACCATCTTTTTTATTATAGAGTTGTTCTGATTGGCTAAAATTTAGAACCCGCATTTCGCACAATGATTTTTAGCAAGTTGTTCTTCATTAACCACTCAATTAATCGTAATAATTTGAACTTCTCAATCACTAGCTAATCACATTGAGGGAGTTGCTTGAGAACATCCTTAGCATGCTAATATTGATTTATTTAATAAAATTTTGACTTTTATAAAGTAAAAGGAGGCAATATGGCGATGTTAAAGTTTTGTAATTTATTTAAATCAAATATATATGTATATTTCTATTTAGATAGTTTTATCAATAATTTTTATTATAAAAGTATAAAACTATATACTGTATTTTATAATAATATTTTGTAACTTCAATATTATTTAGCTTAAGCAAAGAAGTTTTCAGCTACCAGTATAACTTCGTATAGTCCAATGGACGACAGTATATTTTGCCTTTTACGAAACCATTCGATCATCCAATCAAAACCAAGGCTCACCATGCTGATTTTGATATTATAAATACTTTGACAAAAACTGATAAATATTTTACAAGGACCCGCGAAATACGAGTAGTGAGTACTTATTTGTCACATAATAATTCATTAATATTTTTTACATATCAATTTTAATTGATTTCAATTATTAATACATAATAAAATTAATTTTTGGCAATCCTGTTAATCAATATAAGACTTTCCGGATTTCAAGCTACGTTTTGAATCTTTGAATTTATAGAAAACGTCTTCTAAACTCTACTAGTCACGAAATTATGTGTAAAAAAAGTCTTTCATTTCTAACTTTCAAATTATTTTGTGAACTACCAAATTATTTCACTTTGTATTGCATTTTTTGTCAAATCATTTTTATAGTTAAAAATGTTAAGTATTAGTATAGTAAACAAGAATATAGAAGAACTTAATATAGAATTACAGTACATTAATCAACAGCAAGAAAAACATATTAATATAACTAAAAGTGAGTAACTACAAGAGTTAATAGAAGACCTAAAATGTTTGCTAGAAATATTTTATATAAGAAGAACAAATAAAATAAATATTTTGAAAAGAAGAAAATCAATAAACATATAAAAAATAAATATTATATGATTAGTAGCAACCAAGAAAAAAAATTAAAAAGTTTTTTTAACAAATCAAATAAAAAAAATACAAATAAACAAATTAATAAAAAAAAACAACAAGCAAAGAAGATTTTTTATAAAACTAGCAGAGATTCTGATTAAGTAATCTAGTTAAATAAGTTTTGTTATAATACATTAAATTAAGTTTGTAAATTTTTTATCTAATATAATAGTGAATCCTACTCTTAATTTATTAACAAAACTACTTTTTAATAAAATTTTTAGGTTGGTAATACTAGAATTTTAGTAAAGTCTAAATTGACTAGCTTGAATTATAGCTAATAAATTTTAAATTGTAAATAAAGATCTTAAAAATTTTAAATAATAAAAGGTACATAATAGAAAATGAAAATAAAGTTTATATGTTTTGATTATTTTATTTCTATCTTTTAGTTCAAAATAATTTATTAGAAATTAAAGTAATTTATATAATAATAGGATTTATTAGCTTGTGACTCAAATAGAGATGTACTTTATATAAAATAAATTTAGTATAAATTTTACATATTATATACACAACAAAGTTACATATAAAAATTTATTTTAGAGAATGTAATAACTTAGTGAAGTGAATAAGTTGTCAACTTCCCAAATAGTAGATTAGGTTTTAAATTCTATTACAGCATTAATAGAAAAATTTGGATAATAATCACCTATGTAATATTTATATTATAGCAACTATTTTTAATAATTAGGTTAAGATACCTGTAATGACAGTTGTACTAGTATAACTGGCAGGTTATAAGACATCTGTATAACTAATTATACAAAGAAATACAAACTAGCATCAAATAGTACAAACTCTAAATAAGTTCTTGTGATCATGTAAATATGTTGAAATTAAGAAACAAAAAATTTATTTGAAAAGACCTAAATAGAAAAGCAACATGAATCTTTAATAGTACTACTGTAAAGACTAGACCACTAAAAACTAATACCAATATTAAAGTATCTAAACAGACAAAAACCTCTAGATTGAAAGTCTTAGAGTTATTATTAATCATGTCATTAGAATAAACTAGAGAAAAAGAATATTGGGTTAACCTGATATAATAATGAATTAGTTATAATTTTATATAGTCTATCTAAATTAAAAGTTTAGAAAACAGGCAAAGATATACTAAAGTACTAGAGATATGCTGTAAAATAAATACTAGAGTCTAAGTAAACTTTACAAGAGCATAATAGTTAAAGATAAAATTCTGACTACAAGTATTGGTTTTGCTATAGTAATATCCAAATTAGTTGTAAAAATTTATACAAAAAACTCTAAAAAATTTATCTCAAGAATAAAATAGTACTAAAATTAAAATATAACCTGGACATAACCCAGTAATGTTAATGCAAATACAGGTTCAGAGAATTTAAAATAGAACACCTAAGCAGAAGTATTAGATATAGCAATTAGTAGAAAACCTTTGAGCAAACTTCTTAAATAGGTAATATAGAAAAGTTATATATATAGCCAATTGTATACTCTTTCTGTAATAGTTCACAGAATAATATTATTAAAAAAGTTAATAATAAAAATCAAAAAACCAAAAAGGTTATTTTAAAAAAATATATATTTTAAAATATATATTACAAATTTTATCAAAAATTTCTTAAATAAATAATTTATATTACAAAAATTATATAAAATCAAAGGTGCAATAGTTTTATTACTTTACAGGTTTTGCATACCAACTTTATACAAACAGACAGTCAAATTTATACAAACAGACAGTCAAATTCGTACAAATTAATAGTTAAATTCATACATAACACTTTTAATTAAATTGCAATATCTTGTAACCTAGTAACTTAAATTATATAAATTTAATACTATTTAATTCATCTAATTTTGTTAAATCAAATAGTACCAAATATATATAATTTAAGTTACTAGGTCACAAGATATTGCAATTTAATTAAAAGTGTTATATATGAATTTGACTATCAATTTGTAT